GAGCATCTTCCACTGCTTTCCCAGGTGATCTGGAAAGGAAGTAGAGCAGTTGGGACTAGAAGTGGTGCTCTGGTATGGGATGCCAGTGCTGTAGGTGGCATTTTAACCCATTGTACCACAGCATGGGCCCTGGGTTGGAGTTGTTGGTGACTTCTCTTCTCTCTCTTATGAGTCAGTAGGTTCCTTGTAGGTATCAGCTCTGTCTTTACCATTTTTGAAGAAGAGGGATAGAGACGGTGAGGTCTTCCATCTGCTGGTTCACTCCCTAAATGGCCATGATGGCTGGAGCTGAGCTGATCGAAGCCAGGAGCTTGCTCTGGGTCTCCCACATGGGTGCAGGGACTTGGGCCAACCTCCTCTGCCTTCCCAGGACCACCAGCTTTTTTGGGAGCTGTATGGGAATTGGAGCAGCCGGCACTTGAACCAGTGCCCATATGGGATGCCAGCACTGCAGACTGGGGCTTTAACCTGCTGGGCCACAGCGCCAGCCTCTCCTCCAGTTATCTTGACCAAGGCTCTTCACTGCGTTCTCCTCTACTACAGTAAAGAGCACAGCAAAACATATGAAAGACCGAATTGTTGAAAATACATGCTTCTTAGGGATGTACCTTCTGGAAGCAGAGGGAGTCGTCTCTGGGAAGGAATGTGAAGGCCGACTTAGGTACCACATTGTCTCAGGAGGATCCTGTTTCCCAGGAAGACTGAATTACCCAGGACGTCCTGTTCTTGTCTTTCCCATCCCATTGTTTCTTGAGTGTTGCTAGTAGAAAGGGAACTATGGTGCAGAGGCTCTGGAGCTTTGACCTCCTGCAAATCCACTTTAGTTAATTTGGTTTTCCCTAGTTTAACTCCTCAAGGGGCACAGCATCACAGGGATTCCGTGTCCAGTGGCCTTGACCAGAAGGTCGCTTGGGGATTTGTCGTGAGCAGTGCCAGTTTTCATGGGTGTGAGTTTTCCCCAGGTTATTCTGGTTTTGTTCGGTTTGCCACCAGGAGTCACTGTGTCGGTTTTTGCTTTGTACACGCAACATGTTTCTTACTCAAATAGAGTTCAGTTTCCTCTTAGGCGTAAACACCTTCAATTTTAAGAAGAGCTGTGTTCTCCCTTTGGTCCAGAGACCCCGCCTGCAGCCAGCAAACACGGCCTTGCCCACTGCTGTCCAGACACGTGTGCGTTTTAGCAGTCTTGTTCCAAGCAGGCCTGCACAGGCTGCCAGCAGCTGAAAGAGCATTTTCACTCCTTGATCCTCTTCTTTGCCTGTTCCTGCTCATTCCTGCAAACCTCCTGGGTCCCTGGGTGCCAGCCTGGATCAGAGGCTGTACTGCCCATTAATTTCCTGGTCACCCCTCCCACCAGACAGTGCTTTCTGGGAGAATATCTATCTTTCTATATTTCTCTCTCTCTCCTTCCCTCCCTCTCTCTCTGTTTCTTTCTTTCACATTTATTTATTTATTTGGAAATCAGAGTTACAGAGAGAGAGGGAGACACACACACACATACACACACACACACAGAATGACAGAGAGAGAGAGAGAGAGAGAGAGAGAGAGAGAGAGAGAGACAGAGAGACTGAGAGACAGAAAGAAATCTTCCATCTGCTGGTTCACTCCCCAGAAGGCTGCAACAGCCATGGCTGAACCAGGCTGAATCCAGGAGCCAGGAGCTTCCTCCTGGTCTCCCACATGGGTAACAGGGACCCAAGCCCTGGGGCCATCCTCCACTGCTTTCCCAGGCTGTTAGCAGGTAGCTGGATTGGAAGTGGAGCAGCCAGGACTGGAATGGGCGCTCATACGGGATGCCGGTGTCGCAGGCAGAGACTTTACCCACTACACCACAGCACCAGGCTCTCTGGGAGTATTTCTGTGGAAGATTCCACATGGGCCTACTTCAGAAAGAAGGGACCTGGATTCGGATCTTGCAGTCTCCACAGGGTGAGAGGGGAAAGACGTGAGGGGCTGGCTGCTTCCTGCCTTGATTTCTCCTCGCTTCATCTCTTGATCTCTGGTTTGTGAACTGCATTACTGCACTTCTGTTGTCTACCTTTACAAAATCCAAGCTCATCTACTTTTAGCTTTCTGAGTTATAAGACAGTTTTTTTTTTCCACAGCACAGAATTATTTTCTTTTCTTGCTTCCTCTTCACTCTTTTCCCTCCTCCAAGTGGCAGTTTTTTGTCAACCAAAGATAAGCATGGGAAGGCCAGATGTGGCTCTGCATCACAGATGTTGGGGCTGAATTTTCCAGACTTTCCTGAGAATCTAACAGCCTAAAGCCTTTTTGCTTTCGACATATGGCAAAGTAAAGGGCAGCTGCTCACTCTGCTGCCTTCCTGACACTTGCTGTCCTTAGTAAAGGATCTTTGAGGTTTGTCTTGTTACACAAAAAACTTCTGAGTTTCCAGATGACAAGCTATATTGGTGGCAGTGATGGGGAGCAAGGATGAACCCCTTTTGTCCAGTGGAAGATGGAAAGGATATTTTATAACTTGACTTTTTAAAAAATATTTATTTATTTGAAAGGCAAAGTTACAGGGCAGAAAGAGAGATCTTCCATCTACTGGCTCACTCCCAAAACGGGCACAATGGCTGGAGCTGGGCCAATCTGAAGCCAGGAGCCAGGAGCTTCTTGTGAATCCCCCACTTGGGTTCAGGGGCCCAAGGACTTGGACCATCTTCTGCTGCTTCCCCAGGAGCTTTAGCAGAGAACTGGGCAGAAGTGGAGCAGCCCGCACTCGAACTGGCGCCCATAGGGGAAGCCGGTGCTGCAGGTGGCAGCTTTACCTACTACACCCCAGCGACTGCCCCTATAACTTGACTTTTGAGAGTAAAATATGATCATCTAGGGAATCTGGATGAAGGTGGGAATTTATATGAGAATCCTCTATGTCTGAAATTATTTTAATATAAAAAGTTAATGATATTTGCAAGAAATGACAAATCTTAAATTCTTCGATTTTTGAGTTGACAAGTGTGAAAAAGGGACTTAACAAGCTGAGCTGCTGCAGCCTTGGTGTTATCAGCAGCCTTCCAGGTACGGGGGGAGTGGGGGGACCCTGAATCTCAGTGAAAAGGCCAGCAGACCAAGAAGGGGTGGCTCTCAGTGGAGTGTAGCCCTTTGTAGTTATCCAGGAGGGTGCCAGGCTAGAGAGGACCACCAAAGAAGGAAGGGAGGAGGCTGGAGGGCAAGGAGTGCAGATACTCCTGGGAGGAGGGCGCAAGGGTGCGAGAGAACTGAGAAAGGAGCAAGGTCTGAGGTGAGCTTTGTGTTCCCTGGAGCTTGCTGCACCGGGAATGGCCAGCCCTTGGGCAGAGTCACCTGGAGGAATTTGCAAAACCCTTCCACAGGTCCTTTCTCGTCAGCACATGGGACTGAGGCAAGACAGGCAGTTATGGCCATTGTGCAGAAGAAGGTAGGGAGGTCCAGGGAGGTGGCCATTGGCCTTAGGACGCAACTCATAAATGGCAAAGCCAGGATTTTAACCCAGGTTCCTTCTCTCTCCTCCTCTCCTCTCCTCTCCTCTCCTCTCCTCTCCTCTCCTCTCCTCTCCTCTCCTCTCCTCTCCTCTCCTCTCCTCTCCTCTCCTCTCCTCTCCTCTCTTCTTTTCTTTTTTCTTTTTTGACAGGCAGAGTGGACAGTGAGAGAGAGACAGAGAGAAAGGTCTTTCTTTTTCTGTTGGTTCACCCCCCAAGTGGCCGCTGTGGCCGGCGTGCTGCGCCAATCTGAAGCCAGGAGCCAGGTGCTTCCTCCTGGTCTCCCATGCAGGTGCAGGGCCCAAGCACTTGTGCCATCCTCCACTGCACTCCCGGGCCACAGTAGAGAGCTGGACTGGAAGAGGGGCAACCGGGACAGAACTGGTGCCCCAACTGGGACTAGAACCCAGGGTGCTGGTGCTACAGGTGGAGGATTAGCCTAGTGAGCTGTGGCGCTGGCCACTTTTTTCTTTCCTTTAAATTTTTTTCATTTTCTTTTTTAAAGATGTATTTACTTTAAAAAGAGAGTTACAGAGAGGGAGACACACACCCCAAATGGCTGCGATTGCCAGATCTGGGCAAAGCAGAATCCAGGAGCCAGAAACTTCATCTTGATTTCCCATGTGGGTGGCAGGGAGCCTGATTGGAAGTGGAGCAACCTGGACTCAATCGGTGCTCATTTGGGGTGCTGGTCTTGCTGCTTAACCTGCTATGCTGGCCCTAAGATTCCTTCTTTCTGAAATGACTAATAATACTCTATAGTAGCAGGGTGATGGCCTGGGCAAATGTCAGGGCAAGAATTATCCCTGGCATTTTCTTTGTGCAGCTCCAGGCCTATTTGTCTTGCTCTGTCTCTAAATTTCCCTGTGTTACATCTTCTTAGGCCTGGCTGCTGGAGACTGTTGCCAGTGATGGTGGGGCTAACCTGGTACGATGACTCCTAGATGGCCGCTTAGTTGAGCCTCCTTCTGAGCCAGAAACTTATCATAGTCAGCTTGGCTGCTTTGGGCAATAAAGGATGTCCCTGTCTTCTGACCTTCTAGTATTGAGTTCCCATGAGAACCCCTAGAGACTTGAGCCACACTGAACTTCCCACCACTTTTGTGTGGCTGAGCTGTAGGGGCCACTAACTGCAACTCCACCAGCTTGCATCTTGAGGGGGAATGAATTCAATTAGCAGGCAGGTCCCAGAGAGGCTTTCTGCATTGCCATTACTAATCTCATGGAGAATGGAAAAACTTAAACCTCGGCTGTCTGCCGCATTTTCCTCTGTGTTGATGTTCAGGACAGAGGATCACACAGGTCCGTGTGTGCCTTCACTGCTGAATTAAAAGAATAGTTTGCCTCCAGCCAGGATGTCTCTGTCTTTCTCCGTCTGTCTCTGTATTGCCCATCCCTGGCCACCCCACCCACCAGGACTCCATTCTGAATCCTGCAGGTGGACATGGCACTGGCTCATGGAAGGGCAGGGGAATGTTGCAACTTTGCTTCCTTAACTTTTTTTTTTTTTTTTTTTTTTTTTTTTAACAGAGCAGCACTTTCCAGAGGTGATGCTGGGGGAAGAGTTTCTTAGCCTAAGTCTGGACCAGGTGTGCAGCTTGATATCCAGTGACAAGCTGACCGTGTCTTCGGAAGAAAAGGTATGGCATGGCCCTTTGGAGAAACAGGAGCCTCACTTGTGAAGTGGTTGCGGGAGGGCCTTGTGGTTTGGTAAAACCATTTTCAGAAAGAAAAAAACGCACTTTAAAAAAAATTCCATTTAAACCAAAAACCAAGCAAACAACAACAAACAAGGTCTTTCTGGCCCATGACCACTACATTCTGGATCCTTTAGAGAAGAAACGAGGATGATGGCGACGACCAAGCTGCCTGTATTGACTGAACACTTGCTATTTGCCAGGTGCTCTGCTAAGTGCATTGTGCTGTCCACTAACGCAGGCGTCGACGTCGTGCCTTATTACAGAAGAGGAAACCAGTTCAGATTCCCCTTCTGCTAGGAAGAAGTTCCTTGCTGTGGGAGATGTAGTCTCCCATAGTGAGAACAACATCAGCGGGTCCAGACCTTAGCTCTGGCATTTTCAGATTCGTTGCGTGACCCTGGGGGAGGTCTTGCCTCTCCTAGATTCCTCATTTGTAAGGTGAGGGTGATAGCACAGGGTGATGTGGGGACTCACGGGGGTGATGCACCAAGTGAAGCGTCTGGTCGAGTGCCTGGTGCCCAGGAGGTGCTCAGTCAGTGTCAGCTGCATCCGGATTGAACCCACGCCCCTCTCTGATCCAGGATGGCGCGCTCTTTGTTTTACCTTTCCGTGTGCTTGGTGCTGAGCCATTTTTGCCTCCCACACTGAACCCTGAGTTCCCTGATGCCAGGGGACCACATGCTACTCATTTCTGCCTCCTCAGAGGTGCTCAATAAATGCTTCTTGAATTGTCCTGGTTCACTCTTTTTTTTTTTTTTAAGATTTATTTATTTATTTAAAAGAGTTTCACAGAGAGAGAAGAGGCAGAGAGAGAGAGAGAGAGGTCTTCCATCTGATGGTTCACTCCCCAGATGGCCGCAACAGCCGGAGCTGCGCCATTCCGAAGCCAGGAGCTAGGAGCTTCCTCTGGGTCTCCCACGTGGCTGCAGAGGCCCAAGGACCTGGGCCCTCTTCTACTGCTCTCCCAGGCATAGCAGAGACCTGGATCGGAAGTGGAGCAGCCGGGATGCAAACTGGTGCCCATATGGGATTGCCGTTGCTTCAGGCCAGGGCGTGAACCCACTGCGCCACAGGGCCGGCCCCTTGGTTCACTCTTAGTGTCCAAGCTTGAGGCCCATTCCTAAGTGAATATTAAATAAAACTAAATAATTGAAAAGGGTTTTATTACGTCAGGTATGAAACTGCATGATGGCACGTGTCCTAAGAACAGGGTAGACTCACTAGCCTCTCCCTATCATCCTAGAAAAGCTCCATCAGGAAGGCAGTAGATGTTTGTTAGGACTGTGGGCCTGCAGACTCCGACAGGTCCCCGAGAAGGTGAGTGGCCGAGCAATCCGGACTCACCCAGGCTCGGGAAGGCCTCTGCTTCCATGAACTCTGATGTGAGGCAACAGCTCCAGGGAGAAGAATGCTGATGGCCAGACCATACGCCCCTCCTGCCTCAACCTCAGCAACTGAGAGACGACCTTGCTTCTTGCCAACCATATCTGCTGTCCACTCTGAACTTTGCTACCAGATTGGCACAGTTGGAAGGCATGAGGCCGTCTGTTCTGTGTGGATGCTGAAGCAGCTGGTCAGCTGCTTGGTCATGTCCTCCATATGTTTTGATTCTGTAGACAGCAGGATCTGCATCAGTGTGGGTGTCTGGATTGAAGGGGGGGTCCTGCTGCCTTGAATTCATGCTGGCGCGTCCTGCCCTGAGGTCATAGTAAGTTTTCTCCAAGTGAGGGCTTAATTTGTGCTTAATGTGTGAGGATGGAGTGGAGGAGGGGGATTGTTTGTTGGGAGGGGCATGATAGTGCCCAGGAAACTGCCTGGACTGCAGACTTAGGCATACCTGGTTGTACGACCTTGAGAAGTCACTGGTTGGCTGACGTTGCGGCTCACTAGGCTAATCCTCCACCTGCGGCGCTGGCACACCAGGTTCTAGTCCCAGTCGGGGTGCTGGATTCTGTCCTGGTTGCCCCTCTTCCAGGCCAGCTCTCTGCTGTGGCCCGGTGTGCAGTGGAGTATGGCCCAAGTACTTGGGCCCTGCACCCCATGGGAGACCAGGAGAACCACCTGGCTCCTGGCTTCGGATCAGCGCGATGCAACGGCCGCAGTGCGCCGGCTGCGGTGGCCATTGGAGGGTGAACCAACGGCAAAAGGAAGACCTTTCTCTCTGTCTCTCTCTCTCTCTCACTGTCCACTCTGCCTGTCAAAAAAAACCCAACCAACTAAACAAACAAACAAAACAACCCCCCACACACACACACAAAGAAAAAAAAAAAGAAGTCACTGGTCTCTTTGAAAGTTAAGTTTCCTTAAATCTAATATGGAATTCTAAGAGTACCTCCTTTGTAGATTTGTTGTGAGGATTAGATAGAATGGATGTAAAATACTGGAACCATGTTTGGCAGGTGCTTGGTAAATGGTAGTTGTCAGTGTAATTGAACTATTGAACTATTAATGGTATTGATCATTGATATCATTGCTAATTGGTACCAGTTCTGCCACTGATGATGCTAAAATATACCCTTGAGTTAATTGCAAGTTTCCAGAAACAAGGAAAGATGAATTTAAATGCGCACACTTCACATTATCTATAGTGGCTCTCACTAATTCACAGGCTTTACTTAGGAGCTGCTCTCTCTGTGTAACCGAGTTTGGGGTATGTATAGGTATTTTTCACCTGAATGAAGTTCTGCTTGATTTTGGTTCTTAGAAATTATGCGTGACTTCACAGTTGTGTGCTGCTTTTCATACAGCATATTCCTTCTGATCTTGATCCCTTAGTGCCTTTAGGGTTGGTAATGTAATTTTGAGACTTATCAAAAATAGCAGGATATGGTCTGCATTTTCTTGTTGGCTCAACTTGTAGTTTTATTCCCCCTTACTAGATCAAGTATTGCTGGCAGTTGCATAGCTTAAAGTCTGTAACAATTAGGTATTTGTCATTTGAATGCCGGTCCTTTAGGCTTTGAAAATTCAGTGTCCGTTCCAGGAAATTTGGTCATTTCTACTCCTTTAATTACATTGCATCTGATAAGCAACCTCTTAGATGTACAATAGCTTTTCCTTTCCTTTCACTATTGTTTTATAGTGGGATTTGAAAAATGTATTTGAAGTAATCTTAGGGTATTAATTTAAGTTAAAACCCAACTACATTTATTGTTAACATTTAAAAAAAAATTTAACGAAGTTGGTAATCAGATAACCTGTGTTCAGCTAAAGGCACACATCCAAATTAGCTGTGTTCTGACTTCTCAGCCTGAGGCCCACAGGTGTCTTTCACATATATTCTAGAATTCAGCCAGATTCTAGATATCAAAATTGGGTGAAACCATGCATCTTAACAGAGATGAAATGTGATATTTTACTGTGAATGAGGAGTTAAGTAGTGGTTGGGCCCAGACAGCTTATCTCGTGGGTGTTAGAAAGCACTCCATAGGTTCTACAGTCAGAGTGGCTGTTTTTTTTTTTTAATTTTTATTTATTTTATTTTTAAAAAATATTTATTTTATTTATTTGAAAGACAGAGTTACAGAGAGAGGTAGAGACAGAGAGAGAGGTCTTCCATCTGCTGGTTCACTCCTCAGATGGCCGCAAAGGCTGGAGCTGTGCCGATCCAAAGCCAGGAACCAAGTGCTTCCTCCTGGTCTCCCGTGCGGGTGCAGGGGCCCAAGCACTTGGGCCATTCTCTGCTGCCTTCCCGGGCCATAGCAGAGAGCTGGATGGGAAGAGGAGCAACCAGGACTAGAACTGGTGCCTATATGGGATGCCAGCACTTCAGGTCAGGGCTTTAACTTGCTGTGCTACAGCATCCCTCCCCCCTTTTTATTTTAAGATTTTTTTTTTTATTTGAGAGGTAGAGTTACAGACAGAGAGTGGGAGAGACAGAGAGAAAGGTCTTCCATCTGCTGGTTCACTCCTCAAATGGTTGCAATGGCCAGAGCTCTGCTGATGCAAAGCCAGGAGCCAGGAGCTTCTTCCAGTCTCCCATGCAGGTGCAGAGGCCCAAGCACTTGGGCCATCTTCCACTGCTTTCCCAGGCCATAAGCAAAGAGCTAGAATGGAAGAGGAGCAGCCGGGATACCAACTGGTGCCCATATGGGATGCCGACGCTGTGGGCAGAAGCTTAGCCTACTACACCACGGCACTGGCCCTGCGACTGGGTTTTAATCCTGACTTTCTTAAAAAAGCTAGGGGGCTGGCGCTGTGGCATAAGGCAATGCCGGCATCCCATATGGGCGCCGGTTCAAGACCCGGCTTCTCCACTTCTGATCCAGCTCTCTGCTATGGCCTGGGAAAGCAGTGGAAGATGGCCCAATTACTTGGGCCCCTGCACCCATGTGGGAGACCTGGAGGAAGCTCCTGGCTCCTGGCTTTGGATCGGTGCAGCTCCAGCCATTGTGGTCATCTGGGGAGTAAACAGTGGATGGAAAACCTGTCTCTCTCTCTCTGCCTCTCCTTCTTTGTCTGTGTAACTCTGACTTTCAAGTAAATAAATTAATATTTAAAAAAAAACCTAAGGCAAATGGCTGAAGAAAAAAAATATATATATAAAGCTGGGTCCCCTTGGGCAAGTTATTTGTTTCCCACCAGAATGTATGTGCCATATTGTAGTGGATTTTGTCTAATTGTCACCGCAGGAGTGGTAACAGGTTTATTAGAGACACTGAAAATTATTTGTTGAATGAAAGAAGCTCTCTGAATCAGATGTGGGCTTTAGTGGTGAGGACTGGTGAATCATCCCTCTGAACCATTTTGGCTTCAGCCTCCATTCAGCTCCCTGCTTTGAATTTCTTCTTATTTAAAGCACTCAGCTGTTTCCCTCTTGTTTTTAGAACAGTTCAGATACTTTTTTGTTACAAGATAGCTGCATTCTTTTTTTTTAAGATTTATTTATTTATTTGTAAGTCAGAGTTACATACACACACACACACACACAGAGAGAGAGA